AAATAAATAAATAAATAAGTGTTCACTGATGATAATTTCTACCAGTAACCTACATATATCTTTTAAGCTAACAAAGTAAAAAATAAATTTTACCCAGGAAAACTGGATCGTTTTTCATATCTGATATAGTAATAATACATTCAACTCTATTACCATGCACAGAATACAGAAGCACTAACAGCTTACTGATTTCCAGCCTGTGGTCTCTGAGAAGCAATTTTGGTTTTTAGGTCTGCATGGGTGTGCAGGGTGGTGAAAGCATGGGTGAGGGCCAGAGGACAGTCCTGGGTGCTACCCTCAGGAACACCATCGACCTCCTTTAAAGAAAGGTCTCTTCTGAACAAGGAGCTCACAAACTAGGCTCGACTAGCCAGAAAGTGCCAGGGTTCCTCCTGTCTCCACTTCCCCAGCAATGGTATAACAAGAGGGCATTCACAATGCTGATTAACTTTCACATGGGGTCTGGAAATCAAACTCAGATCCTCATGCTGAAGAAAAAAAACACTTCACAACAGATCTATATCCTGGCTCAACAACTGTTGAGGAATATTTGTTTACACTGTAAAGATGTGTCTTTGCCAAGGTGCCTTCTGATTGGTTTAATAAAGAGCTGAATAGCTAGGCAGGAGAGGATAGATAGGCGAGAGACTTTCAGGGAAAGAGAGGAAGAGGAATATAGGTACACGATTTTGCCAGTAGACTTGGAGCAAGTCCAATGTACAGTACTAAGAGGTAACCAAGCCACGTAGTTTTAAAAAATATGGGTTAATAAGTTATGAGCTAGTTGAGAAAAAAAAAAAACCTAAGCTAAGGCTAAACTTTCATAACTTAATAAGTCTCTGTCATTATTTGCAGGCTAGCAGTCCAAAGACAGCCGACAAGAAAGCTTGCTACAAACAACTTTGATTTTTAACAACACAATGCTATCATTCTTCCTGCCATGATGTACCCTACTGTGAGCTCTGGTGTGCTGTCAGTGACCTAGGACACTGCTCTTAACCTATTAGACCTGCTCATGAGTAAAACATCTCACATAATGTAATGATAAAATTTTAAAATACTAAAATAAAAACATGTATTTTTTCTTATTACTTAATTTTAATGAAGTATGTAAGATGGCTAGAACATATGCACATGTTCAAAAATAGTTGGTGGACTTTGGTAAAGAAGGATGAGACCCACTAAATAAGTTTATATAATGTATTTGTTCCTATGAACTAAGAGCAAGTAATCCCACTTTGTAAAACAATGACTTTCCTATTAAAAATTTTTCACATACATCTAATTATGTATAATATACATGTACATATGTGTAGTCATACAAAACTCAAAACTTTATAGGGTTTTTGTTTTGTTTTGTTTTAGTATCTTACATTTTTTTCCTTTCTTTTTTAAAATAGAGTCTTGCTATGTAGCCCAGGTTAACCTAGAACTCACTATCCTGTCCAAGCTGGCCTGGAACTTTTGATCCTCATGCTTCAGTCTCCTGAGCAGTAGGAGAGGATACAATTATGAGACACCATGCTCAGGTTCAACACACACACACACACACACAATCTTATTTGTTTGTTTATATGTGAGTGTTTTGCCTGCATATATCTATGTGCACACATAGATACCTGGTGCCCAAAGAGGTCAGAAGAAGGCACTAGATCCTCTGAAACTAGAGTTACAGATGGTCGTAAGCCATCATGCTGGGACCTGAACTTGGGTCCTCTCAAAGGGCACAGTGCTGTTAAATACTCATCTCTCTAACCTCAGTTCAGTGAAAGTTTTAGGGAAAACACAAAGAAAATGAGATTGGGGAGGACAGAGTTAGTAACTACATTTTCAAATGTCTGTATGTTACAGCTTGTAACATTACAAAAGAAACCTATGAGGAGAGAATAAAAGATAGATATGGAAAAGAACAACGTAGCAACTAAATACTAAGAGTATGTTGCCTCTTACAAGCTGACCAGCCCCTTGCTCCACACCATCAACAACAGATGATTCTATTCCCTGACCACGTCCACACAATGCTCAACAGATTAGTTTTGCTGGATAGTAAAAGCCAACACAAGGCACTTACAAAGACAGGGTCACGTTTCCAAATGAACCGTGCTTTTACTAGTGTGATTACCTATATACTATATACCGAGGAGAAAGGACAATGTTGGTTTTGTTGCTTTTTAATCCCAAAATTATCCTTTCAAAGACGTTTCCAAGATTACTCTCTACTTGTTGAATGACTCTGACATTCCATACTTCTACTCACATAACCTTCACAGCAACATAAATTATTACTTACCTCCACTGTACAGTAGTCATTTCCTTAAGATTTCCTAGTCATCCCAAAGGTTACAAATTAATTTCTAAACCTACTTCATTCTGTTTGTTTGTGTTTTCATCACTAGCTTCACCTTTACTCAGTTCAAAATGTCTCCTAAATTTTCAATCTACTTCAAAGTCAAGGTAAATATTGCATATTCCTAGAAAATTCTCAGTTCAATAAGGTATTTTCATATATAAAGTTCTCTAGGGCTCTAGTCACCAATGAAGAATATATGAGCTTAAGTATTCTGAGGCCACAGATTGTTACTCTAATAGCAAAAATGTGTATCACTGAACATTCAAATAAAGAACAGAACTGGCTAAGCCAATAGAGAGCAGCTAAGTAAACATCTGGAGTATTAATCACTGGCTGCTTCACAGCATAACTGCAGTTATTCACATCCTGCCTCTAAGGCGCACAGTCCAAACCCACAGCACCGTGGGAACCCAGAGCAGGGTGGGTTGTGTTCCCTGGTACTGCACAGACAGGCATGGTGGTGCACGTCTGCCATCCTAGCCCCTGGGAAGGTGGAGGCAAGCACATCACAAGTGCAAGTTCATTCCCGTAGATCCAGTTTGAGGCCAACCTTGGACCCATGAGACCCTGTCTCAAAAGCAGAACAACAGGGGACCAAAGAAATGGCTCAGTGGTTAAGAGCACTGGTTGCTCTCGCAGAGGACCTGAGCTCAGTTCCCAACACCCACATGGTGGTTCACAGCCTCCTGTAACTCCAGTTTCAGGGGACCTGACACTTCGTTCTGGTCTCCATCAGCACCAGGCACAGACATAGAACAAATACACAAGTGCAGGCAAAACATCCATACATGTAATTTCTAAAAAAAAATAAAATAAAATAAATAGATAAAACCACAGCGAGGCATGGAGGTACACGCCTTTAACCCCAGCACTCCAAACACAGAGGAAGGAGGATCTATATGACTAGTCTACATATCGAGCTCCAGGCCAACCAAAGTTACATAATGAGACTCTGTCTCAAAAATAACATAAAATAAAACAACAATAGTAACAAAACTACAGGGGCAAAAGAAACAGAACAAAAGGATTGAGAACATTAACCAAGAAGTCATCACCTTATTGGGGATGTATTTCTTTTAAGGTGTAAAGAATATTACAGGAAGGAAAATTCTGGGGTCGGAGAGCTGGCTCAGTGGTTAAAAATATTTGCTACTCTTCAAGAGGACCTAGGTTCAGTTCCCAGCACCCACACTGAGTATCTCACCACCACCTGTAACTCCAGCTCCAGATCTGACACCCTCTTCTCTGATCCCTGAAGATACTGCATACACATGGTAAGCATAGTGCACTCAGGCACACATACATAAAATAAACAAATCTCTGAATAAAACATTCTGACCTGTTATTATATAAAGAAACAATATTTGCAAATATGACAAAGAATAAAATGAAAATGAAGAGTCCACATTTATTCTAAGTAATATAAATTAGTTACTGTGTTTCATATCCGATATTATACTGTTTTTTTCTCCCTTGTGGATATAAGCATTTATGGACACCCTAATTCAATCTGAAATTAATGGAAGTCAAAGGGTTCTGATCAACAACTGTCAATCTAATGGAATAGCCAATGCCATCCCAACTGCCTCACAAGAGAACATCACTGATTCATACCTTACAACCTAGGTGAATTGGACTGTTCTTATCTCTAATGGAACATAAGTTCTCATCTTTTATAGGATTTATTATGTTGCTGCCCAACACACTACCCCAAAATTCTTCTCCCCACCTTTTCTCATGTACAAACATTAACTGAACACCATTTAACAGAGAAACAAGAAACAAAGAGGACATGCTGGGTTTGTTTGTTTGGTTGGTTAAGACCAAAAAGAATGTTCTTGGCCACAGGAGGTGGTGGCACACGCCTTTAAACCCAGTACTTGGGAAGCAGAGGCAGGCAGATCTCTGTGAGTTTGAATCCAGCCTGGTCTACAGAGTGAGTTCCAGGACAGTCAGGACTACACAGAGAAACCCTGTCTTAGAAAGAAAACAAAACAACAACAAGAAGCTCTTAAGCAATCAGGAACCATAACACAGCACCCCCTGGTTCAGCTCAGGTGAGCAGCTCCTCTCAGCCCTCTCTATGATGCCATGATTGTGCTCTAATGTCCCTAGGAAGGGCGTTGGTCACCATCCCTACCGAGCCCAAAACTACTCTAGCCTTTATTCCAAACTACATAAACATGGTTAAAAACTATTAATGCATACACCAAATTATACAACTTATTTTAAAAATAGTAATCTGTTCAGTGAAGCTTAACCATGAAAGCTTTTTTTTTTTTTTTTTTTGGTTTTTTGAGACAGGGTTTCTCTGTGTAGCTTTGCGCTTTTCCTGGAGCTCACTTGGTAGCCCAGGCTGGCCTCGAACTCACAGAGATCCGCCTGACTCTGCCTCCCGAGTGCTGGGATTAAAGGAGTGCGCCACCACCGCCCGGCTCCATGAAAGCTTTTATAACTCATTAAATATATACACCAAAGCATGTCACCATGCAGACGACAATCCCTAACACTAGATTTACTCTTCACTTTTGCAGCATTCTTATTCTTAGCAAAAATCAGCATCAAAAAACATTTCTTATTTTAATAGCTTGGCTAATAAGTATACTGAACATCATAAAATGTAGGAAAAGTTCAGTGAATATAAACTTACTTTTCAGCAAAATCTTTACATCTCCATTTTCTTTCTTGATCTCACTCATTACTTTATACTTCTTTTTTTCTTTTTCTTTTTCTTTGTCTTTCTCTTTAATTTTGTCTTTGATTTTATCTGAAAAGAAAAAAATACTTAAAACTGTTAAATTTTTTTCTCCATGAACTTTAGTTCAATTTCTAGAAGTATAATACATACGAAAGCTGAGTGATTACACACGCCTTTGATTCCAGCACAGAGGGAGGCAGAGGTAGGAGGATCTCAGTGAGCTAGAGGCCAGCCTGGGCTACATATTAAGTCCAGGGTAGCCAAGGGCAACACCTGATCCCCCACAAAAGACAAAACAACAAAAGAACAAAAACAAAAAAACACAATACACATAAAAACATGATGACTGGAAAAAAAATAAGCCTTTTTTTTCCTTTCTCAGTTTTAGGACAAATTTCTACATTTCTTTCACTGAGCATACAATACCGATCAAAATTTATCACTGTACATTTAATTTCAATGATTATTCAATGATTTTTACTCATTTCATGTCAACCAAAATACGGGATTGATTCAAATGACATAAAACAACAGGCTGTCTTTACTGGAGCAGGAAAGTAGACGGGGAAGCTATTGCTCTGAAACCTGAGGGAATGGAGGTGGAGACCGTCCTCACAGGATTATCAGATGAATTAAATGAAGAAAATGACCACACAGAGTAAGACCAGAGACTAGCTCCCTTACCCTTCCACGTTTTAGGAAGAACATGGCTAGCTAGTAAAACTGTGATATTAAATTATGGGGCATAAAAACTTGCTGATCTATATCCTAAAAAATCTGAACAACTTTATGAAATGCATACTATCCTGCTGTGGAACAATCCTTTTCCACATTATGAATATATATTACTCTCATTGGTTAATAAAAAGCTGACAGGCCGGTAGCTGGGCTGGAAGTTACGTGGGAAAACCAAACTGAGACCACTGGGAAGGAGAAGGGCCGAGTGAGGAGTAGTCAGCAGACGCAGAGGAAGCAAACTGAGAAAAGGCACCAAGCCACCTGAGTAGGCATAGATAGTAACTATGGGTTAATTCAACGGTAAAAGCTAGTAATAAGCTTGAGCTACCGGCCAAGCATTTATAATTTATATAAGCCTCTGTGTAGTAATTTGGGAAACAGCTGCCAGGTATTTGGGAGTTGCTGGCAGGATAGAAACTTCTGCCTTCATTATCTTATTAACTGTTGTTCACTCAATTTCCTATGAATCTAGTCAAGGATAAATATATGCAGAATGAAAACAAAGCAATACAGCCCTTGCCTTCAAAAGCTTATTATTATTACAAAGCTAGATTGAAAGCACATAATCTTGTAAAACAACACAGATTTTACAATGTTTGTGAATACTGCATAATCCCTTAAAAACTTCTCCTTACTTTCTTTTCCTAAGTGCTACCCTAACCCAGGCCATAATCACATGATTACTAGAATGCCAGTCTCAATCAGATATTACCAGCAGAAATATAATGCCATTTGCAAATCTGCATTTTCCAGCAGCCACATTAAAGCATAATAAGCAACAGGTGAAATTACTTTTAATAACGTATTTTACTTAATGTATTTTACATGCACACCTCTCCCTCTCCCTCTCCCTCTCCCTCTCCCTCTCCCTCTCTCTCTGTGTCTCTGTGTGTATGTGTCTGAGATTGGGAGGTAGAGGGGTGGGGAGCACGTATATACCACAGCATGCAGGTGGAGTCCTTCTTTCCTTTAACTTTTACGTGAGTTCTGGATATTGAACTCAGGCCACCAAGCTTGTGCAGCAAGTGCCTTTACCTGCTGAGCTCGCTCACTAGCACTGGGAAACTGAAAATCCCATCCTAACTGCCTCCTTTAAATTCATCTAATTCTCTAACATGGTACAGCTAGGAAAAAGTGAGGGTGCAAGCTCAGAAGACAGAAGGTCAAGGTCTCAGACCCTTGGCTTTGGTTGTCAAGTTTACATGCTGTCATTTCTCCATCTCTTCACAGGGAAGGGGTTATGAGGGAAGACAGGATCTTGGCATTGCTGTTTTCTTTAATACAATGTTCCTGAAAAGACTGGTTCTTCACCAGTTCTGATTGATTTATTTACATGAGCAGGAATTCAGCAAGGTGTAGTGACTCACACATTTAATCCCAGCATTCGAAAAGCAGAGGCAGGGAGATCTCTGAGTTCAAGGCCGCCTGGTCTACACAGTGAGTTCCAGGACAGCCAGAGCTAAATAGTGAGACCCTGTCTCAAAAACAAAAACCAGTCTAGTTTTATCCTCCATGGTCTAAAGTTCAGACTAACCTTTCTAACTTGTCTTCTCATCGGAATCCTTACAATGACAGCAAGAATTCTACTGTAAGAACAACACGCTGTGTGAAAAGTCAAACAGAGCGCAAGTACAATTGGATTTACAAAGTGTTTCAAAGGTATCCAAGTATCAAGACAGAAAAGATCAGAACAAAACTGGCATTCAGAAACAAACCACTGTACAGTAGCTGATGTTTGACAACGCAGTGAAAGTAATGGGAAAGGACATTTTCAACAGACAGCACCACAACTGGCTAGTCAAGCTCAGAACAAACGAGAATCTATTCAAATACCCAGAAGACATCAAAGATCTACATGAGGTGGCAGCTGGTGATACCGCAAAAGTAATGTGTCAAAGGAAAACCTGGCAGGCTGGATTCATTAATGTTCTTCAAAAGACACTATGGAGAACAGAAAGGCAAAGCACACAAGGGAAAACATAACTGTCAATTACTATTAGTTAATACAGACTCATCTAAAGATCAGGGACAAAGGCACTGAAATGGGTCAAACAGCTCACAATAAAAAATATATAGAGAAGGCTGTGCAGTGGTGGCGCACGCCTTTAATCCCAGAACTTGGGAGGCAGAGGCAGGAGGATCTCTAGTTCAAAGCCAGCCTGGTCTACAGAGAGAGTTCCAGGACAGCCAAGGCTACACAGAGAAACCCTGTCTCCAAAAACAAAAGAAATAAAATAAAATATATACATGTAAAGATATAGGAGTTCGAACTACAATATGTCACTACGTAACTATTAAATTGGCCAAAATCCAGAACATTGGCAGCATTGTTAAATGCTAGTAAGAAGTGGAACAACAGGAGTTCTCACTCGTAGCTAGTGGGAATGCAAGAAGACATGTGAGTGCTCTCTTAGAATACCACACACACTTTCCTAAGCATCAATAAGTTTCACTGCTTAGTTTTTATCCAAAAGACCTAAAAACTTAGGTCCATAGAAAAACACATACATAAATAGTTATATCAGGTTCATAATTATCCAAAACAAAAGGAAGCGATTAAGATGTCCTTCAGTGGATGAACATAAACTCTGACATATCCAAGTGACAGGATATTCTTCAATGCTAAAGGAGAAAGGAGCTATGAAACCATGAAGACAGAAAACCTACATGAGTATTAAAACCTACATGAAAGAAAGGTTTAAAACACCACATACTACATGACTCCAATAACACAAGATTCTGGAAAAGCCTAGAGCTTAACAGTCAGCTAGCAGAACTGGCATCTAGAATTGGCAAGCCTTAGGATTCAATGAGAGAATCTATCTCAAAAAGGGGAGGGGGGGCAACCAAGATGGATGAGCTGTAAAGCAGCTGAACACCTGGAACCCACATAAAGGTGGAAAGTGAGAACCAACTCCAAAGTTGTCCCCTTACCTCCACACAGGCACTATAGCACACATGCACACACATTAACAAAAATAATAAGGTAGTGGCTCCTGAGGAATGAAACCTAGATTGAATTCTCACCTCCACATGTACCCACACAACACAAACAAAACAAACAACAAATATTTTTTTAACAGAGCAGAAGCATAAATAAAATCTTCCTGATATAGTAGATGAAAACAGAGAGGCATATGCATACATATATGTATACATGTATTGTATATGTATACTTATATGAACATACATGTCTGTATATATAAACATGTATGCAACTACAAGTAAAACTGTTTAAAATGTTACACATATTAGACAGAGGGGGGTGTGTGTTGATTTCTAAGTTGTCCTTTGCCAAATAGTGGCATGATCATTTCAGTCACTCAAGAATGTAAACAATGAGCTGTGCTCAAGTAAATTAAGAAGTAAAAAGAAAAAAAAAGGGAAGTAAATAAAAGTAGAGGACATGCACACCTGGCTTAGAAGATAGCAGTTATTGTTAAGTGAAAACAGGATGATGCAAACCAAGGCCTCCACAAAAGGAATACAGGAAAGAGTAGAAATGAAGCAACATATATCTGTGTCAATGAATAAAGACAATTTTAAAGACATCAAGATTAATAAAGCCTTACAGAGAAGGATCTTTATCTGGGTTAAATTATTTGCAAAGTCTTATAAGCATTAGTCATTTTGCTAAGCCATGGAAATGACTACGCTGAGTTAGGAGTTGATGATGTAGCTCGACTGGTAAAGCACTGGCCTAGAATGCATGAGGCCCTCTACTCAGCCCCCAGCACTGGATAAGCCACATGGGGCTCATGTCTGTAATCCCAGCACTGAGCAGGTGGAGACAGGATCACGGCTCCAAGATCACTCTGTCCTTACTGTGATTCATGACCCACATTTCAGTAAAAAGGACGTTCTTCGAAAAGGTTCACTGGTGGCTGGAGAGATGGTTCAACAAGAGCACCTACTGCTCTGGCAGAGGACCAAAGTTCAGATTCCCAGCGCGCGCGCGCACACACACACACACACACACACACACACACACACACACACACACACACACACGGTAGTTCATAACAATTATAACCCCAGCTCCAGAGGGTCACACAGGCATACACATGGTACATATATATGCATGCAGGGAAAATATTCATACACATACAGTAAACAAATAGCTCTAAAAGAAAAAAAGACTGAAAGACTAAAAAAAAGACTAAAAAATTCATTTTAATTTATTTAAGTAAAAACATCATAAAAATTCAAACTGGAAGTTCTTATGAAATATCAAAAAAATTCCATGCTAAAGCTTTCAGCTACTATACATTTTTGCAGCAAAAGCTCAAACAGGCTTCATGTTATCAGCTTTAACTATCCTGGATATAAGC